ATGTTTTATCACTTTGAGGATTCCAAGGATTTTAGGAGCTATGTGCTAGCAAACGGATGGAGACCAAATATGTATTTCACAACATCATACTATTACTATGATTATTTAACATTGTCTAAATATTTTAGTAAATGCAATAAACATAATATGCACAGTATAAATATGGAAAGAAAGAGGTGAAACGTTTTGCTGGCAATATAATTTTCTACCTGATATCATCAAGAAACTAGTAAAAAATATGTAGAAGTAAAAGAATTCGATGGATTGGATAGATAAGACATGAAGATATAGCATCATTAGCTTTTTCTATATGAGCCGTGCCCACATACAAATGAAAATGAGGAAACTATTCCATTCATAATAGAAACAAAAATCATCAAATAGTAATAAATTATACGAGAAAGGAATAGGACCCACGTAAAAAATAAAATCCTGCTGGAGGACAAAAATAGGATCTGAACAACTAGAAATTTATACCACGTTCTTGAAAAGTAATACTTATTCTCAAATAGATCTGTTCTCCTGAAAATAGTATATAAATTTAGCACAACTTCCTTAGAATCTCTCTGGCAATTTTAATCATATAAAATACTCAAATTGATGACTAAAGAATGATAGTATTAGCCTGGCTAACATGGTGAAAACCCATCTCTGTTAAAAATACAAAAATTAGGTGGGCATGGTGGTGCGCACCTGTAATCCCAGCTACTCAGGAGGCTGAGGCAGGAGAATTGCTTGAACCCGGGAGGCGGAGGTTGCAGTAAGCTGAGATCACTCCATTGCACTCCAACCTGAGCAACAGATTGAGACTCTGTCTCAAAAAAAAAAAAAAAGGAAGGCAGTATTAAAACTATTTAAAAGCCAGGATAATAAAAAAAGTACAGTTTAGGCACAAGATTACTCCCAAATCAGTAAAAAATAACAATAAAGAGAGCTCAGAATTGTGTAATACCTCAGGAAGGTGATATTTCATTATTTCATTGTGGGGAAATTTAATTAATAATCTCATCACAATTGGATAGGCTCTTAGAAGAAAATTAATTTGGGCCCCCTAGTTTATATTATGAAATAAATTTCTAATGAATTTAAGACTTGAAAGTAAAAAATAAATAATAACCATTTTAGAAAAAAATTAGGTAATTGTCTGTATTCCTAAGAATTAAAGAAATCTTTTAAACAAATGCAGGTGATAAACCTAACCTTCATAAAATTTCAAGGTATTATTTGTAGTGCAAGAGATACCAAAAACAAAATCACTAGGTAAACAAGCTGGGAAAAATATTATAAATTCAAATGATAGAAAAAAATTGTATCTATCTATATAAAAAAAGCTCTGTCACAATTTAATAAGATAAAGATAACCCAATAGCAAAATAGGTTGGGGATATGAATGGGCAATTGACAGAAGAGCAAGTGTGATAAAACGTTCAATCTTCTCCAATAGGCAGAGAAATAGAAATGAAAATTACCGTGATCATAGCCATCAGAGTGGCAAAAATCAAAGTGTAATAGCACCTATTATTAGCAGAGATGGGAGTTGGGGCAACGGCACTTTCATATATCACTGGTAGAAATGTGAAAAAGCAATTCAAGATCTCTACTGAAAATTTAAATGCACATGGAGTTCAAACAAGAATCTCATTCCTGGGACTCTCTACTATAGAAATAAAAGCCTCAGTATTATAACTGTGTGTGTGTGTATGTGTGTGTGTGTGTGTGTGTGTGTGTGTGTGTTTTAGTAACAAAAAGCTGATAACAAATCAAATCTCCATTAATAAAAGAATAGCTGAATGATAATGCATACAGTAGAATTTTATGCAAAAATTAAAAATTAATTACCTATACTACCTGGCCTCAAGGAATTTCCATTGTATATTGTTAAGAAACAGAGAATTATATATCATCAATCCCTTTAAAAATGCCCCCCTTAAACCTCACGTGTGTATATAAACACACATAAATGCACACGCGTGCACACACACATACACATATGTTATGCCTATGTGTACATAATGCATAAAGAGTTACATGGAAGAATGGTCACTGATATGTTAGTTGTTTTCTCAGAAAGGTGGCTTTTATATTTTTCCTTAATGTATTGATTATTTTGCTATTTTTTTATTTCAATTTTTATTTTAGATTTAGGGGGTACATGTACAGGTTTGTTACCTGAGTGTATTACATGATGTTGAGTTTTGGGGTACAAATGATCCTTCATCCAGATACTGAGCATAGTATTCAATAATTAGTTTTTCAACCCTTTTCTCCCTTCCCCCTCCCCACAATAGTCCCTAGTTTATTTTGCTGACGTCTTTATGACCATGAGTATCCAATGTTTAGCTCCCACTTTTAAGTAAGAACATGTGGTATTTGGTTTGCTTACTGTATTACTCTGCGTAGGAAAATGTATTACTTTGCTTAGGATAATGGCCTCCAGCTGCATCCATTTTCCTGCAAAGGACATTATTTGTTTCTTTTTTATGGCTGCATAGTATTCCATGGTATGTATATACCACACTTCCTTTATCTAATCCATCATTGATGGGCACCTAAGTTGATTCCATGTCTTTGCTATTGTGAATAGTGCTGCAATGAACATACAGGTGCATATGTCTTTTTGGTAGAACAATTTATTTTTCTTTACATATATACCCAGAAATGGGATTGCTGGATCAAATGGTAATTCTGTTTTTAGTTTTTTGGAGAAATCTCCAAACTGTTTTCCACCGTGGTGAACTAATTTACATTCCCACCAACAGTGTATAAGCATTCCCTTTACACTCCAACCAATAACATATAAGTGTTTCCTTTTCTTCACAGCCCTCCAGAATCTGTTACGAACTGACTTTGTAATAATAGCCATTCTAACTGGTGTGAGATGGTATCTCATTGTGGTTTTGATTTGCATTTATCTGATGATTGGTGATATTGAGCATTTTTCATATGTTTGTTGGCTGCTTGTATGTCTTCTTTTGAGAAATTATCTGTTTATGTCTTTTGTCCATTTTTGATGGAGTTATGTGTTTTTGCTTAAGTTTCTTATAGATTTTGAACATTAGACCTTTATCAGGTGCCTAGTTTGTGAATATTTTTTCCAATTCTGTAGGTTCTCTGTTTACTCTGTCAATAGCTTCTTTTTGCTATGCAGAAGCTCTTTATTTTAATTAGGTCCCACTTGTCAATCTTTGTTTTTGTTGCAATTGCTTTTGGGGACATAGTCATAAATTATTTCCTTAAGGCTGATGTCCAGAATGGTGTTTCCTAGGTTTTTTTCTAGGATTCTTATAGTTTGAAGTCTTACATATAAATCTCTAATCCATCTTGAATTAATTTTTGTACACAATGAAATGTAGGATCGTTTCATTCTTCTGCATATGGCTAGCCTGTTATCCCAGCACCATTTATTGAATGATGAGTCCTTTCCTTATTGCTTATTTTTGTTGATGTCAAAAACCAGATGGCTGTAGGTGTGTGGCTTTATTTCTGGGTTCTTCAGTCTATTCCATTGGTCCGTGGGTCTGTTTTTGTATCAGTGCCATGTTGTTTTGGTTACTGTAGCTTTATATTACTGTAGTTTGAAGTCAGGTAATGTGATGCTTCCAGCTTTGTTCCTTTTGCTTAGGATTGCTTTGGCTATTCAGGCTCTTTTTTAGCTCCATATAAATTTTGGATTTTTTTTTTTAGTTCTGTGAAAAATAATGTTGGTTTGATAGGAATAACATTGAATCTGTAGATTGCTTTGAGCAATATGGTCTTTTTAACAATATTGATTCTTCCAATCCATGAGCATGGAAAGTACCTTTCCATTTACTTGTGTTATCTGATTTCTTTCAGCAGTGTTTTGCAGTTCTCAAGATAGAGGTCTTTTACCTTCTTGGTTAGATGTATTTGTAGGTATATTTTATGTGTGTGTGGTTATTGTAAATGGGATTGCATTCTTGATTTGGTTCTCAGCTTGAATGTTATTGGTGGAGAGACATGCTACTGCTTTTTGTACATTGAAACTTTATTGAAGTCATTTATCAGTTCCAGGGCCTGTTGGCAGAGTCTTTAGTGTTTTCTAGGTATAGAATCATATTATCAGCAAAGAGGGATAGTTTCACTCCTTCTTTTCCTATTTGGTTGCCTTTGATTTCTTGCCTAATTGCTCTGGCTAGGACTTCCTATTTTACAATTTTAAATGTTTGATTTATATCAGGAGTGTCTTACTCCATTTGGGCCGCGGTGACAAAACACTGGGTAGCATATAAACAATAAAAGTTTAGTTCTCACCATTCTGGAGGCTGAGAAGTGTAAGACCAAGGTGCCAGCAGAGTCTGGTGAGGGCCTGTTTACTGCCACATAGGCAGCTCTTTTTGCTGTGTCCTCACATGCTGTCTCTTTTTATACAGTTGCTAATTCCAATCGTGAGGCTCCACCTTCCTGACCTAATCATTTCCCAAAAGCCCCACCTCCTGATACTGTCACCTGCAGATTAGGTTTCAATATATGAATTTTGGAGGGACGCAAATATTCAGAACATAACGAGGAGACTTTCTTTCGCCATGGGGAGGAAGAAATTGAACAAATGCTTACAGCTGTATGCCTGAGTAGAGATACTTCAGCATTATTCATAAATGGTAAATACTTAAAAAATGTTCAAAATTAGACTTTGATGAAATAAATTATGATCTATTCATAAAAATGCTGTGAAGTAGCCATCTAAAATGATAAAATAAGTATATATTGTTGACATGTAAAATATTCATTTTATTAGCAGAAAACAAAGTTATTAAAAAACATCCATAGCATGCCATAAAATATATTTTATGTGTGTACATCTACTTATATGTACATATGTAAATAAATATAGAATTACACAAACATTATAGATCAGCGTTTTGAAGGAGATACTCTCAAACATATTAACAGGGTTTATCTCTTGATGCCAGGCTTGCAAGTGGCTTTATTTTCTTCTTTATTTTCTATTTTTTGATATTACACATGTAACTTGCAACAACAAAGAAAGTGCTGAAATTTTTCCATTGCCCGTCCCCAATTTAGGTTGGTTATTTTTCAATCTTGAGGGGGAAGAGGAATTACCTACAGAAGGGAACCTTTCTGAGAGATCTTTCTGGCTCTCAGTTCTTCTCCTTAGAATTTTTGATTGTCCTGGAATCCAGGTCTTATTAGAGGAGATAGACTTTATTCCTTATCGTTATTTTTTTCCTTGTTGTTAAACATTAAAGTCAAGCTTTGAGAAGCTGGTGTCAACTTTATTAGCTCTAATCCTGGCTGCATGCCATTAAGATTAGTAATTTTGTTAGTTATCCCCCACCAACCACACCATTTTCCATGTCCCTTAAGGAACTGATGTGTTTATTCCTACAGGGTCTGTTTATGAACTAGATGAGAAAGACAGACTTGTCACTTCAAAGTCACAGTTTATTTTAATGCATTTGACCTGATTCACTGGATCTAAATCCAACTGACTTCTGGCCATTTTGAAAAGAATGAAGGTTGGCTACTTCTAAGAAAATCCCAGAGAATGTGCACAGGCCCTAAAGGATCTTACAAGTGAGGAATTCCAGGAATGCTTTTGAGGAATGGCTGTGAAGAAACTGGGCCTCCTCTAAGCTCAGGTCCTGGGTTTGGAGACTCAGGATAAGACCAGTTTGCTATTTAGCCCTTTTAGACCCCAAGGATTTGGCCAACCTCTTCTCCTGCCTGCTGCCAACTTCTATCTGGATTTCTACAAGACTTAAGCGGTAATACATTCATGTCTCAATTTATTCAATAGCTAGGTTTCTATAAATCCTGGGAAATTTGGAAAGCTGATATAAAAATCAGTTTAAAAATGAATTAATAGCAAGGGATATTTCCTAGAATCTTAATTTTTTTCTGTTTCATATTAATAAGAAGAATAAATAGTTAATGAAAAATCGTACTTATGTAATAGTGACCAAAAAGAAGCCACTGAATAGTAAGATATACGTACTTGAATCGCAAACAACAAAAGTTTACAAATATAGTAGCTGTGTTTTAAACGCCTTCATTACGGGAATTCTTGCATGTGAAGTGTTTATTACCCTCAATGATGCCCAGGCTTTGTCTTTTTTTTAACCTTGAGATAATTTTAATGAATTATTACGAGTCTGCTAATGTCTATGTTTCATTCACCTTTTGTAAAACAGGCTTATTACCTCCATTTTTATATGTTAATAAGATTTGACTCCTTTTTCTTCTGGGGGCCTCCCTATGATGCTAACTGATGATTTCTAGTTACTGTTTTACCTACAAGTTAAAAATAATTTAGAAAATACACATGTTCATGTGGCTTGATGGGTATAGACATTAGAAAGGAAGCAATGGCTGGTCCTGTGCCAGGCATCTGTTTGAGAGTTGCTTCATACCGTTTGGACTTGGCCCTGTTCTGTATTGTCAGAGAAAGAGCTTCCCAGATTTTTGGCAGGCATTTTAATCCCGTTATTCTGATACTTGCATGTGGGTTTTTTTTGTATTTTTTTTTGAGACGGAGTCTTGCTGTGTCACCCAGGGTGAGGTACAGTGGTGCAATCTTGGCTCACTGCAACCTCCGCCTCCTGGGTTCAAGTAATTCTCCTGCCTCAGCCTCCCAAGTAGCTGGGATTACAGGTGTGCGCCAGCATGCCTGACTAATTTTTGTATTTTTAGTAGAGATGAGGTTTCACCATGTTGGCCAGGCTAGTCTTGAACTCCTGACCTCAGATGATTCACCCACCTCAGCCTCCCACAGTGCTGGGATTACAGGTGTGACCCACCGTGACCGGCCACATGTGTACATTTTTAAACAATGTTAACTTGATTCAGATTTAATGCTTGTCTCTGTTTACTTTTTGGTATAAATGAAGCTAGACTTATTCTTTCAGAGCTGTTTTGCTGGTTCCAATCTGAGCCATAGGATCCATCACCCAACCCTTGATTTGGAGCCTGTTCAGACTCAGGCTCCACATGAGTTTGCGTTGCTTCACTACTGGGGAGTGTTACTTCTCCAGTTCACTGTCATTCTTTGTTATGTGTATTTCAAGAACACTTAAATAAAACACAAAACCTCAGTCTCCTGAGGTGACTAGGTTCATGTGTGGAGTCCCAGGCTGTGTGTGGATCAACAAAAGCTGGCCCTCATCCTGATCCTGGACATCTGGAAAGATGTGGGAGGGAGGGACAGGAACTGGGTCTAAGGCAAATTGGCTGAGCCAAGGAAAGGCAAAGTCAAAGTCAGCCCAGGATCCGGGCAGGGTTGAGGGGTGGCGTGGGGTGAGTAGCTTCCCGAAGGCCAAGAGGTGCAGAAAGGGATATTGTTTTACAGATGATATACAGTGTGTCAGGGTCCCTGAATGCTTCTAGAAAGTTATATTCATGTGGAAACAGGGGTCCTTGGTTGTTAATATAAAACATATTACTTTAAATTTATATTGTACATTTATTTTTCCGGCAACACGGAATCTCATCTTTGCTTTAGTCCAGTGGCTTCTAAGCTTCTGCACTGAGACCCATGGAAACACCTTTTACATCCCAACCCATTATGCACATCCATACACTCCTAACTGAGATACAAGCTCAATACAACAATGTGTATTGTTATTACATATGATATGCTCTGATACTTATCTTGCTTTCCCCTGCATTCCCCTGCCTTCCCTTGTCTTCTCCTGTATTTTTCTGTTTTTGTCGTTTGTTTTTTTTGAGACAGGGTCTCGTTCTATTACCTAGGCTGGAGTGCAGTGGCCTAATCTCAGCTCACTGCAGGCTCCGCCTCCCAGGTTCAAGTGATTCTGGTGCCTCAGCCTCCCAAGTAGCTGAGATTACAAGTGTGCACCACCACTCCTGGCTAATTTTTAAAAATATTTTTAGTAGAGACGGAGTTTCACCATGTTGGCCAGGCTATTCTCAAACTCCTGACCTCAGAGGATCAGGCCTGCCTCAGCCTCCTAAAGTGCTGGGATTACAGGTGTGAGCTACCATGCCTGGCCTCTTCTCCTGTATTTCTAAAGATACTGATTGTGACCCACCAAATTCATCCCATAACTTACTAATGAATTGCAACCTGCAGATTGAAATTCTCTTTCATTTCACTCAGCATAGCTCCTTCCAACTGCTATGGCCACCCCAGCATAAGCACCATGCTGTTCTCACGTCCTAAGCAAACCCAGGGCAGCCCTAGCTCTGTTGCCCCACCTCATCCTTCTGCTTGTCCCTCCCGCCTCACCTATCACAGCCACTCCCTCTCAGCCATGTGTCCCATCTCACTTTTACTTGATCTCTCAATTTTGGAGAGATAGAACAAAAAAGCATTTCCCAAAGTATGGTAAGCATACCTATCCTGGGGCCAAGATGATTTTAGGGACACAGAGATGAACACATTCTCCTTTTGCTAGTCACAGCCTTCCTTTTTCCAGTTGTCTATTCATATCAATTGATGCTGGTTTTCTCTTTAGAATAATAAAAAGCAGTTGTAGCTAAAGTTTGTTGAATACTTGCCGTATGTTAGGCACTATTTTCAGAACTTTACATATATAAATTTGTTTAACCTTCATGACAATCCTATGAGGCACTGACTATTATTATTATTATTGAGATGGAGTTTTTCTCTTGTTGGCCCAGGCTGGAATGCAGTGGCGCGATCTTGACTCACTGCAATCCCTGCCCCCTGGGTTCAAGCGATTCTCTTGCCTCAGCCTCCGGAGTAGCTGGGATTACAGGCACCCGCCACCATGCCCGGCTAATTTTTTGTATTTTTAGTAGAGATGGGGTTTCACCATATTGGCCAGGCTGGTCTCGAACTCCTGACCTCAGGTGATCTGCCTGCCTCAGCCTCCCAAAGTGCTGGGATTACAGGTTTGAGCCACCGCGCCCGGCCAGCAGTTACTATTAATATTATCACCATTTCACAGGTGAAAAAACCCCAGAGGCACAGAGAGGTTAAGAATATGCCCAAGATCACACAGCTAGTAAGTGGAGGGACCAGGAAGTTTAGCACCTTAGAAGAAAGTCAACTCTAGAAACAGCATGGGTTCAAACTCTCATTCTACCATTTTCTAACTGCATGAACTTTGGCAAGTTATTCAACCTACCTGTGCCTCAGTTTTCATATCTCTGCCTCAGTTTCCTCACTGAATCTAACACACCATCAATTTATATATCACTTAAAAAGATTTTAAAGTATAAATTTAATCATGACTGGCTAGGTGTGGTGACTCATACCTGTAATCCCAGCATTTTGGGAGGCTGATACGGGGAAATCACTTGAGACCAGGAGTTTAAGACCAGCCTGGGCAACATAGCAAGCCTGTGTCTCTTAGAAAAAAAAATTAACCATGACTTATATGCTTTCTTAATAATTATTCATCCTGATAACAGAGAATGTTAAAATATAAAAAAGAACATCTTAGAATCAGTGAAATATAATAATACTACATTGTAGGATTGTCAAGAAGAGTCCATGAATGTAGTATTTATTACAGAGCCTGATACACAGGAAGTTCTTCGTCAGCGTTAGCTATTTCAGTTGTTACAATGGTTGTACCTATTTAAGAGGCGAAGGAACTGAGACCCAGAGAGATTATATTCTCAGGTTGCCCTGGTAGGAAATTGGTGGTCCCCAGATTTGGCTGAGGTCGTAACTCTCCTGTTGAGTGGGGCTGCCTGTCTCCAAGTCGGGTGAGGCCTGGTTTGTGTCTAAACACCAGAGCAGTGGGCTTTCATTTTGCTTTATGTGCCTTCATCAAGAACTCTCAGCTGGGTGTGGTGGCTCACGCCTGCAATCCCAGCACTTTGGGAGGCTGAGGCAGATGGTTAGCCTGAGCTCGGGAGTTCGAGACCAGCCTGGTAACATGGTGAAATCCCATCTCTACTAAAAATACAGTAATTAGCTGGGTGTGGTGGTGCGTGCCTGTAAACCCAGCTATTTAGGAGGCTGAGGCATGAGAATCGTTTGAATCTGAGAGGTGGTGATTCCAGTGAGCCAAGATCATGCCACTGTACTCCAGCCTGGGTGACAGAGTGAGACTCTGTCTCAAAAAACAGAAAAAAGATCTGTTGAGCCCATTTGCCTCAGGACCTTCCAGGTCTTTGCCTTTTCTGTTTCCAAAGTCCTGAAGCTCGTAGCCACGACCCACATTCCGCCCCCATTCCCAGGGGAGTGTCTAGACTTTCTGACTCAAGGCAAATTACCAAAAGGATAAATGCCCATTTTACTTAATGACTTTACTTCCAGTTTTCACAGAATCTCGGAAGTGGCCAGGAATAGTCCCAAACCCTGTCATCTTTCATAGAGCTGAGCTAAATTAAGTGGGTAGTGTTCCTCCAGAATTCCTCTCCCAAGCCCTTAGCATTGATGTATGTCCCTCACTGCTTTGCTCACAGGACAGATGTTTGAGAAAACGTCACTTGACTGTGAAGAAGGAAAACATGTTGTTAAAACGTGGATTTCCACTCCCACCCCCATCCATAAGTTCTCAGATCTACTGCTAATGCACTCTTTATGCGTACTTATTCAACACAAATACACCTCCCTCGTGCACACACATAAGACGCGACAGACTCCCTACCCTCACCATTCACATGGACATTGTAATCACGAGGATTTTCTAACTTACATTTTTAATATTTTGCTCCATAACCACGGCTTTGAGCTAATTATTTCACATCTTCTTAATGTACACCAGAAATGACATTTACATCTCAGTCTGGCAATAGGTTCACTAACAGGCAAGGCAGAAAGAACAAATTTGGTCACAGCCAGACAACGGAGCCACAGACCCCTGCTTAATTTCTGGTGTCCTAGGCAGGCTGCCTTAGAAGGAACTCTGTCCTCTGTGAACGCAGGCATTGGATGTAATAAGCACTGACTTCCACATGGAAAGACACAAGCCTTGTCGTACAGAGAGCACTAGGTCTTAGGGGTGACTTAGTGCCCTAGCTTCCCATATCAGTACAAAGGTTAAACCTGACGCTATTAATTGCAACCTTTCCAGATAATTATTTTCTCCTTTACCCTATTGGGACTGCTATGCTGTCCAAGAAAACTCCCTGGGGGGAGCTTTCCTTACTTGCCATCTTTTATCTTCAGGGAGAGTGAAAGCAAGGTGTGGTGCCGCTGGGATCAAGGGTTAGCTTGTCTCCTGCCTTTTTATCATGATGACACACCGAGGGCACTTTGAGAGCGAGAACTGTCCTCTAGAGGGAGAGAAAGGAGCACACACTGGATGGAGGCTGACGTCTGTATTATCCCCAGCAGCTCTGAGTTGTAATGCTTTGAGGGAGGACCCTGGCTGGGGGCCTCCAATGTTTTCTCTGAGACTGAATCCACTCTTGCTGGCTCTGTTGCAGTCAGCCACCCTTTGCTGTTGACGGGCGCTCATACATCCATGAGAGCCTTGGGAAGGGACACACTCTTTCCCTGGCTCTTCCCATTAAATGGCCACACAGGCTCTCCAGCTCCCAGACCAAGTGGCTAATGTTGGGGTTCAAAAAACAGTGCCCCGAAGTGAAGGCCTCAGAGCAGCCATAGAAGCAAGTTTTTCTCTGACCTTCTTCTGCCCTCCAGTCTTGCAGTTCCATTCTCCCTGCAACCCAAGGCTGGCCATAAAAACTAGAATGCCTCTTCCCCCAAGACGAGGCATAGAAACCAGAACCCCGTTTCCTGAAAGCCAGCCATAAAACCTAAAAATATTCCATATAAAAATGGACAGGAAAGAAATGATCTGACCTACCTTGTCTGACTGTAGGTCAGAAGACCCCCATTCCAGAGAGAGTCCCCATTCTGAGAGGGCAAAAGTCCCCATACCCAGGAGGAAGGAACGCTACACAGGGAGACCAAGAAGAACCTGAGTTCAGACAGGCCTTGCGGGGCCTCCCCGCTCACTCTGTTAGCATTAGAGCAGACCCTTTCTGTCCAATCATGTTTCCACATGGCTGTCCACGCTTTGTTGAACCTAAGCATAAAAATGGACAATTTCCCTTGTATCTTTGGGTCTTCATTCTGAAGACTCCCATGGGTACATGTGAAATAAACGTGTATGCCTTTTCTCCTATTAATCAATCTGCTTCACGTCAGTGATCTTACAGCAAACCTTCAGGGCCCAAGGGCCTCCGCCCCCACACTATTCTCAGAATCACAGGTTGAGGCTGGCTCCCACCCAGCCACCCACTGACCTCTGAGGCCAGGGTGAGCTTACTCTTCAACACCAGGAATCATTAGGCTTCTCCATTTCATGAAGGAGAGACCCAAACCCCTCTCCCAAGCCCAGTAAAAGGGAATGATTTGTTTTCCTCTTCACATCTTGTAAAACTGAAACTCTACACCCATTAAACACCAACTATCCATTTTCCTTTCCCCCAGTCCCTGACACTCACCATTCTACTTTTTGTCTCTATGGTTCTGACTACACTTATGCCTCATACAAGTGGAATTTTTGTTTTTTGAGATGGAGTCTCACTCTGTCGCCCAGGCTGGAGTGCAGTGGCACGATCTCAGGTCACTGCAACCTCTGCCTCCCGGGTTCAAGTGATTCTCCTGCCTCAGCCTCCTGAGTAGCTGGGATTACAGGCACCTGCCACCATGCCAGACAGGGTTTCACCATGCTGGCCGGGCTGGTCTCAAACTCCTGACCTCAAGTGATCCGCTGGCCTCAGCCTCGTACAGTGCTGGGATTAGAGGCATGAGCCACCAGGCCTGGCCATATAAGTGGAATTATACAATATTTATCGTTTTGTGACTGGCTTATTTCACTTAATGTAATGTCCTTATATGTTGTAACATGTCAGATTTTCTTTTCTAAGTCTGAATACTATTCTACTGCATGTATGCACCATATTTTGCTTATCCATATGTTGATGGATACTTGCCAAAGACACATGCTTTCATTGAATTATTTTCAGCTTCAGAGTGCTGAAGAGCCAGTCTATATTTCTGATCAAAGAAATATACAAAATTTCAGGTGGAAACTCCATTTCATATGTATTTTTCAATGACTAATATTTGTTTAAAACTTGCAATTTTACCTGATATATAATTTGTAGGTTTCTTTTGTCATCTAACATTTTGCTACTGTGTGATTTTCATGAACTGTTTAGTGTCCTATTGCGGCCTATCAGCCAGAATGGGCTGGGCTAAGCTGTAGTTAACAAACAACCCTAAAATCTCCGTGACATCAAACAGTTTTTAATTTCTTGCTCCCTCCATGTGTCACTTGCAGATCAGTTAGTGTTTAGCTCTGTTGTCACATAATGTTTTCACTCCAGGACCCAGGTAGAAGAAAAACTGACCATGAGGAAAAAAAATTATATATTGGTTCTTAAAGTTTCTGCCTAGATGTCACAATGTACATCCTTTCACATTTCCTTAGCTAAAGTGAGTCACATGGCCTCACTTAACCTAAGGTGGGAAAGAAACGAAATCTTACTATGTGTCCAGGAGGAGAATTGGAAATATTTGGTGAACAGCACTGATGGTTACCATATGTGAGTGTAATATAATAATTCCCTATTTTAGGGCATCTAAGTCTTTTCCAATTCTTTTCTTAAGCTGAGCAAGTTTGTGGATACATGTTTCTTTAAGAAATATACAAAATTTCAGGTGGAATGTTAGTGAAGCCAGTCATTTATGTTGAGGTGGTGCAAATCTCAAACAAATTCTAAGTCCCTAGCAATGATGTGATTTTGAGTCTTGGCGTTTAGCAATGCTCCAAATGTCAATAGTCCAAAGTAAAATAGGCAGAAAAAAAAAATGCCAGAGTACTTAAATTTGCTTCTTAGATTGCCTAAAATCTGTTTATCTACTGTCTGGTTTTTTATTGTTAATACTGAATCTTCTGTATATTTCTATAGGAAAATTCTCAGTATTATCAGGTCCAGCTAAAACTTTACCAGTCTGCAAGTTATTTACCATCTGTTGCCTCCACTACTGAATCTACTGTGCAAGGTTTTGCATGCCAAACTGAGCACATGTGGCTTCACATTCTCCTGCCTCAGCCTCCTGAGTAGCTGAAATTACAGGCACCCGTCACCATGCTCGGCTAATTTTTGTATTTAATTTTTAGTAGAGATGGGGTTTTACCACTTTGGACAGGCTGGTCTCGAACTCCTGACCTCAGGTGATCCTCTGGCCTTGGCCTCCTAAAGTGCTGGGATCAGAGGCGTGAGCCTCTAATGGTTTCAGGTGCTATTTTCCAATCTTTTCCAGATGATCCCACGTGAAAACTTGCTCAGACACCCAGGTACATATTACCTCTAGCTGTGGACAAGTCCATCTACAAATAATCATACCCTCCACACCCACTGACAGTAAACTCATGTAACAGCTGATGGGCTAATAGGCATCATTAACTTACAGGACTGGCCACTGCCCAAGGTATATCAATATACCACGGAGGTAATAACACAAACCATCTTGACAAATCAAATCCAAGCATTCCTGTTATTCAGGGCCAGTTGGGCAACTGGATCTGTGTACCTGCTGGCCAGACAGACTCAGTTGGTAGCTGCTATTCTGCCTGAGTTATCTCACATCCCAACTGCAAGACAAAGGGCAAGACGGCACTGCTTTCCAGGTTATGTGAAACATGCAGACTGTGTTCGAACTACTGTTGTCCTCACTGAAACATCCATCCAACCGAGCTATGTGTATGTTACCAACATACCTTCAATTGTTTTTGTTACATATTTTATTATTTAAGACCACTTTACCTTAATCATCTTCCGCGGGTACTTATGTGTGTGAAGTGGGGAAAGGAGATGAAGAAGATCATTTTGAAACGTGTTTGAGAAATACTGGATAAAACAAAGATAATTAAGATTCTTGAGCCGGGCGCGGTGGCTCAAGCCTGTAATCCCAGCACTGTGGGAGGCTGAGGCGGGTGGATCACGAGGTCAAGAGATCAAGACCATCCTGGTCAACATGGTGAAACCCCGTCTCTACTAAAACTACAAAAAATTAGCTGGGCATGGTGGCGCGTGCCTGTAATCCCAGCTACTCAGGAGGCTGAGGCAGGAGAATTGCCTGAACCCGGGAGGCGGAGGTTGCGGTGAGCCGAGATCGTGCCATTGCACTCCAGCCTGGGTAACAAGAGCGAAACTCTGTCTCAAAAAAAAAAAAAAAAAAAAAAGATTCTTGACTGCAAGATTTCTCAGAGTCTTTGATATACTAAGGTGACAGCAAATTTTCAAAAGGCACCTAGTGTTCATCAGTATAAATGACTACAGAACATTTTCTTAAAGAGACAAAATATCATTAATGTATGAACAAATGGTTTGCCTCTTTCTTGACCTGTATCCTCAATGAAAACGTCTAACCTTGTTCATTCATCACCTCTCCCTCAATTTGATATTTATCTCATGGTCCTCACTATGCATCCCCAACTAATCAGAGGTGGAAGATTCAGAGTATCTGGAATGAGGGATTGTCATCAGACAGGGTCAGGGCTTTCTTGAAAGTAAGTTAAAATGATGAAAAGAAAGGGGAAGGGGAAGAAAACAGAAGATCCCACAAGTGTAGAGGGTATCCAAGATAATTTGGTGCAGAGCTGAGTGCAAAAAATGGGGGAAGAGAGGTGTTGAGAAAGCTTTGAGATGTGAGACAATTATATAAGGGGAAGAGTGAGGAAAAGAAAAATTTAAGAAATGAAGTTAGGAATTATGGATTGTATCTCCTTTAATATTCTTTGAGAAAGAGCGTGATCACACTTGGCTACTGAACTGTTTCTTTGAATGCTAACCCTGTTGAGACTGGCCACCCGGGGCCCTGGGATTTATTCAAGTTACAACAGAACATCACCAGTATTCTACAAAGTATCTTCAGCAAAATACTGAATAACATTGTCAACTTACACAACCTAGACTAGAGTTAGGGAATGAAGCAACATAATGATTGCTTTTGGCCCAGGGACCTTTTAAGATTTATAAAACAAAGCTTAGAAGCAATGGCATTTTGTTTTTAAGTTTTAAGGATTGAAATAAAACTAAGAATGAATATTTCAGTAAAAAACAAGGTTACAATTTTAGATATTGATTTCATAAAAGAAAACATCAAGGCTGGGTGCCGTGGCTCACACCTGTAATCCCAGTGGAAGGCTGGGGCGGCAGATCACTTGAAGCCAGGAGTTTGAGAGCAGCCTGGCTGACATGACAAAAGCTTGTCTCTGCTAAAATACAAAAGTTAGCCAGGTGTGGTGGTGGGTGCCTGTAGTCCCAGCTATTCCAGAGTCTGAGGCATGAGAATTGCCTGAGCCCAGGAGGTGGAGGTTGCAGTGAGCCAAGATGGTGCCACTGCACTTCAGCCTGGGAGGCAGAGTAAGACTCTGTCTAAAAAAGAAAAGAAAAGAAAAAAGAAAACATCAGAGCACTGCTTTTTCACACAATTTAAATTATTAAAATTTGTCAGTTCAAATAAAACTTTTAATAACCCCACTTTGAATTTACATTAGTTCTAAGCCATTTGTTTAGCTAAATATGGATATTACTTGTATAGCATACTGCTTCATTAGATTGTAGGATTAAATAAATTAATACATGTAAAACTGTTAGAACAGGGTCTGCCATTTAGTTAGAACTCCATACATTGAGTTATCAGTTTTAATACCACATTTCATCACTTTAAAACATATTTTTTTGGCCTTTTTGCAAAGTCTCTGAAGTTGGGATGGCATCTTAGTCTGTTTAATCTACTGTAACAAAATACAATAGGGTGGCTTATAAACAAAAGCAATTTATATCTCACAGTTCCGGAGGCTGGGAGCCCAGATTAAGGCACTGGCAGATTCAGAGTGAGGGCCTGCCTCGTCACAGACAGCAGCCACACATGGCAGAAGAAGCCGAAAGAAAGGGGATGTGCAATCTCTTTTATAAGGACACAATCTCAGGGGGATGCTGCCCTCCTGACCTAATCACCTCCCAAAGGCTCTACCTCCTAATACTATCGCATTGGGCATAAGAATCTAACATATGATTTTGGGATAAACAAAAATTTAGATCAGAGCAGATGGTTTGCCATAAGTTCATTGGTAGTATGTTTTTTCCTCTTAGTGGTACATTAAATAGTTGTGTTTCCAACAATTGATATGGTCTTTGATTCAATAAAATACAATATTATTAATCCTTTTCTCCCATTAGTTTTGGATATTTTACTATATTTTTGTTTTCCACAAATGATTATCTATCTTTTTATAGATTGATAGTCAAATACATACACCTTATATATTATTTCAAAAAATCAAAGTACCACCCCCTTCTACTCCCATAAGATCTGTCAGGGTGAAAGATATTGTGGATAGTCAGGATTTCAGGTAATAATCGCCCATTTACTATACCTTGGGGAATGTTTGATAAAAGAGTTGAAATAAACAACAAATTAATCAGAAGAGAGACTGCAAGGCAGGGAGATATAAGGAAGACAAGATATGATATTGAGTAATAACCCTTGTAAAATATGTAGAAGTTTTCTTAATCAATATTCACATAATCGGCTTACTGGATTTACCAATAGTCTTCATTCCCTTGAACGTCTGTAGTGGAAACTTTGAGTACATGAATCTGTAGCCGTTAGGGTTCTTTGGTTGCAAGTAATGGAACCCAACTCTTTCTTGCTGACTTAAGCTAAAAGGGAGATTTTTGGAAGGTTACAGGACAGCAAAAACAGTAGACTCAGAGACCAAAGTCAGAAAGGACTGGAGCACCGGGCTTTGCACCAGGCTAACCTTATGGATCTTTATGGTGTCAGGAACACCCAGCTTTCTTTTCTGGGAGCTACTCCTGGTCAAAACGGGTCTACTCTTTTTCAGGCTGTCTTTCTGGTAGAGGATGAAAGTGCAGGGAAGGAGCCCATGGATCCTCAGTGCCTGCTCCTTGACGGAGGGAGAGCAGCGCACCTTGATCAGAGTCCTACCAGACCGTCTCCAAGGGAAGAGGCAAATCCCCAGAGTGGACTAGGCACTATTAGTAAGGGACTGTGGAATGGACACTGGCCTGCCAAAACCCAACAAATAACCACTACCAATCTGAACAACAACAACTAACATTTGGTTATCCTAGCATGCTAAATTCCACAACCAGTATGGAAGTCCACGTAAAATGGAAGGGGCCATAAACATCGCTTACAGTACTTGTACTCCAGAAGACATCCTCCTGGAATAGTACTATAAATAAGGAGGAACTTGAGGGCAGCGTGGGTGGGGCAAATCTCATCCAGCTCAGCCTGCATCCCACAGAGAGCACCACACAGGCAAATGCACAGGCCACAAAGAAAGGGACTCCCCAAGGGCACCCCCAGCTTTTGCCTTTATCCTTGATTTGCCTACTCAGCTATTAGAGCTGCATGATCCTCCAGGTCAATCTCATTAGCTCATGTTCAAAATACCCGAATTTGTTTCCATGTACAAGATTAATTATAGCTGGTAGCTTGACTTACACATTAGATGACTCACCATGTCCATGCAAACAACCTTAGCTTTTCCCACGGCTGCATGAGTCAACTTGCTTCTGTTAACTTGGGCTAATGATGGTTTGCCTTGTTTCCATCACCTGGCTTTTTTGGTGTTTTGTTCTGCCCCCAAGTGCCGCTTTCTCCTTCCTGACTCACCTTTATCTCCCTGCCTTTGCATTTGCTTTCCTACTGATTCCACAAACAGTGCCCACTCAAGGGCACATGTTCCCGCCACGGAGAAAAACAAACCAAAGCAGAGCTGCTGAGCTTGTCACCTGCTTTCTTGCTAGGAGCATGATGTTAATTTTTGCAAAGGCAAAATTTGCATTCCTTAGACTTAGCAGGAGCAGAGAGGGAGCTAAGGCTTCATGTGGATCTAATCTGCAAACACCCCGGGATGGAGTCTTTCTGGTTTCCATCTGCCACCTTTTAAATGGTGTGTTTTATTATTACTGCACTTACCAAGAGTTATCTTTTCCACTCTGGTTTAAATACAATATTAAAGACATTTAGAGAAACACCAGTAATTTAAAGGAAAGTTGCTAGGCCAATATTTTTGTATGAACTTGGGTATGGAAGACTGAGGGAAACTAGAAATGGATGTTAAATACGGCATTTCAACATAGGGTTAGATGGTATTACTTTGATTTATGTTTTTGCTTATTCATGTGTGAGTGCATATTACATGCAGAGTTCTGTTTTAATGACTGATCCTGCACAGAGGCAGGTCTGAGAGTGCCAGGAAACACTGAAGTCTGAACAATTTGCCTTGTCCCAACTTGCACTCTGCAACCCCGCTTGCTTCCCATCCTTCTGGCTCCTGAGCTCTGGCTCTTCCATTTGCTGACCTTGCCTTGCTCCCTGGATCTCACACCTGGTACCAGTTTTCTGCTCACAGCCTTTTACTGCCTTTCTTGATGAGAGCTTAGACTTTCCTTCTGGTCTTCTTTTCTTCTGCCACTGGCTCAGCCCTCAGCACCTTCATCATCTCCTCTTTGACCAAGGACGCCTATAAACAACTCTGTGAGCAGAACCTAGACATCGAAGGCAAAAAGAAAACCAGAATGAAGAACGTATGGTCTATTTGAAGAAATAGGCCTGCATATACTAACAAACAAGGTTTGAAACACACAAAAAACATTCAGAAATAGAGCACTGTCAAAAGCCTAACTTTTGGAAATAACTTTGTAGGCTAAGGGTAATAAATAAGATCTATCTTCCATGCCAATTCTAATCGATTGGAGTGCCAGCTGTGGGAAAGGATTCTAAAGCTTCATCTGCATTGAGCTGGAAAGAGTATCTTGATCAATTAGTGACCTAGGCCTTGAGCCAGGGAACATGCATTTGCTTATTGCTACCCCTGCCATGACAAATGTCCCACCATTTAGAAATTTTTAAGTCGGAGAGTTTTTAAAAATGAAATCACTATTTAAAGAAGATTAATTTGGTTCTGCACAGAATGATTGCGAGGAGGACAGGATGTTTCCAGAGACAGAAGTTAAAAGGCTCTCATTGTCTTGTTCAATGACAAAGTGGCTAAACACAGCTCCCAAAAAAGGGGGAGACAGATGACATAAACTGGAGGAGCACTGTTCTCTGCGGAGTGAGGCTGAACCAGTGTCAGTGGGAATTAGCTGGACCTGGGAAGGAAGTCACAGTGGCTGAAGCAGTGATTTCTTATCCCTCCTGACGGGGCCAACAAGGAAGAATGCTGTTTCCCCGTCCCCAGTCCAATTCCAAATAGGCATCAGTATTGACAGCAGCAGAAAACTATGTCCCATGCCACTTGTCAATGGGGAGGGCTCTCCTCTATCCTTTCCTGCCAAACACCCAGCAGGTGGAAGATGACCAGTGTGGACTCTGGGTTGGGGCTGGCAAAACCAAAGACTGATGAGTGTCTGTATTTGGATGTCAATCATTGTGGATATAGGAAGAAAGGCATGGATAAAAAACATTTTAAGAAGTAAAATAGAATTGATTAAAAAAAATAGGATTTTGTGAGTAACTAAAAAAGAATTAGGAAAAGTGGAAGTGACTACAGTTTCAGATATGGGAAATTGGAGAATGTAAGAGATTTACAGAGGAAATTGGATTGAAGTGTGGCAGAGACTGCTAAGTTTCTCTAGTATCTGTGTTCCCTTTTCCCATAGAAACAGAACTGCAGACTTTTAGCTGGGCATATTACATCTCAGAATAAAGATTGCATTTCCAAGCTTCCTTTTGGCTCAGTGCCTGTATGTTGTAAGTTCTTGTCTACAGGCTATAAATAGAAGCAACATATGCAAGTTTAGGGTTGCGCCTTCCTCCTCCCTTTCCCCCCTTCCCACTGCCAAGGCAGCTTATGAGATGATGCTGATGAGCTGTTTTGAACCATATGGGCAAGAGCAACTCTCTAGAGATGGAGTGGCAAGATCAAAGGATCCTGGTCCTCGATGCTGCCATCGGAGCCCAGGACTGCTTACACGTGGGCTGTTACAGAGGTGTGGGCATCAGAGACATCCTCTATCTGTACCAATTCTCCATCATCACAAGTCTTTATTACATTTTCACCTATATCCTAATTTCTGCCGGGAGTGGCTTTTATAAGAAAGGTATTAAAAATTACATGCCAGGACCAGGTATGGTGGCACCCATTGTGTTTCTAGCCACTCAGGAGGCTGAGGGAGGAGGATCTCTTGAGCCCAGAAGTTAGAGGCTGCAATAAGCTATGATTATACCACTGCACTCCAGCCTGGGTGACAGAGCAAGATTCCACCTTTATTATTATTATTTTTTATTTTTTTTTCCCCATTTATTTATTTTATTTCATTTTAGGTTTTGGGGTACATGTGAAGAACATGAAAAATTGTTGCATAGGAACACACGTGGCAGTGTGATTTGCTGCCTTCCTCCCCATCACCTACATCTGGCATTTCTCCCCCTGCTATCCCTCCCCAGCTTCCCACCCCCCACCATCCCTCCCCTATTTCCCCCCAACTGACCCCAGTGTGTAGTGCTCCCCTCCCTGTGTCCATGTGCTCTCATCGTTCAACACCCGCCTATGAGTGAGAACATGCAGTGTTTGATCTTCTGCTCTTGTGTCAGTTTGCTGAGAATGATGGTTTCCAGGTTCATCCATGTCCCCACAAAGGACCCAAACTCATCGTTTTTGATGGCTGCATAATATTCCATGGTGTATATGTGCCACATTTTCCCTATCCAGTCTATCATCGATGGGCATTTGGGTTGGTTCCAGGTCCTTGCTATTGTAAACAGTGCTGCAATGAACATTCGTGTACACGTGTCCTTATAGTAGAACGATTTGTAATCCTTTGGATATATACCCAGTAATGGGATTGCTGGGTCAAATGGAATTTCTATTTCTAGGTCCTTGAGGAATCACCACACTATCTTCCACAATGGTTGAACTAATTTACACTCCCACCAACAGTGCAAAAGTGTTCCTATTTCTCCACATCCTCTCCAGCATCTGCTGTCTCCAGATTTTTTAATGTTCGCCATTCTTACCGGCATGAGATGGTATCTCAATGTAGTTTTGATTTGCATTTCTCTTATGACCAGTGATGATGAGCATTTTTTCATATGTTTGTTGGCCTCACGTATGTCTTCTTTTGTAAAGTGTCTGTTCATATCCTTTGCCCAGTTTTGAATGGGCTTGTTAGTTTTTTTCTTGTAAATCTGCTTTAGTTCTTTGTAAATTTTGGATATCAGCCCTTTGTCAGATGGGTAAACTGCAAAAATTTTTTCCCAATCTGTTGGTTGCCGATTCACTCTAATGATTGTTTCTTTTGCTGTGCAGAAGCTGTGGAGTTTGATTAGGTCCCATTTGTCTATTCTGGCTTTTGTTGTCAATGCTTTTGGTGTTTTGGTCATGAAGTCCTTGCCTACACCTACGTCCTGAATGGTTTTGCCTAGATTTTCTTCTAGGGTTTTTATGGTGTTAGGTCTTATGTTTAAGTCTTTAATCCATCTGGAGTTAATTTTAGTGTAAGGTGTCAGGAAGGGGTCCAGTTTCTGCTTTCTGCACATGGCTAGCCAGCTTTCCCAACACCATTTATTGAACAGGGAATCCTTTCCCCATTGCTTGTTTTTGTCTGGTTTGTCAAAGGTCAGATGGTTGTAGATATGTTGTGTTGCCTCCGAGACCTCTGTTCTGTTCCATTGGTCTATATCTCTGTTTTGGTACCAGTACCATGCTGTTTTGATTACTGTAGCCTTGTAGTATAGTTTGAAGTCTGGTAGTGTGATGCCCCCCGCTTTGTTCTTTTTGCTTAGAATTGACTTGGCTGTGCGGGCTCTCTTTTGGTTCCATATGAAGTTTAAGGTGGTATTTTCTAGTTCTGCGAAGAAGGTCATTGGTAGCTTGATGGGGATAGCATTGAATCTGTAAATTACTTTGGGCAGTATGGCCATTTTCACGATATTGATTCTTCCTAACCATGAACATGGAATGTTTCTCCATCTGTTTGTGTCCTCTCTTATTTCATTGAGCAGTGGCTTGTAGTTCTCCTTGAAGAGGTCCTTTACATTCCTTGTTAGTTGTATTCCTAGGTATTTTATTCTCTTTGTGGCAATTGTGAATGGAAGTTTGTTCTTGATTTGGCTCTCTTTAAGTCTGTTATTGCTGTATAGGAATGCATGTGATTTTTGCACATTGATTTTGTATCCTGAGAGTTTGCTGAACTTGCTTATCAGTTTCAGGAGGTTTGGGGCTGAGACAATGGGGTCTTCTAGATATACAATCATGTCGTCTGCAAATAGAGACAATTTGACTTCCTCCTTTCCTATTTGAATGCCCTTTATTTCTTATTCTTGCCTGATTGCTCTGGCTAGAACTTCTAATACTATATTGAATAGCAGTGGTGAGAGCGGGCATCCTTGTCTGGTGCCACATTTCAAGGGGAATGCTTCCAGTTTTTGCCCATTCAGTAGGATATTGGCTGTTGGTTTGTCATAAATAGCTTTTATTATTTTGAGATACGTTCCATTGATACCTAGCTTACTGAGTGTTTTTAGCATAAAGGGCTGTTGAATTTTGTCAAAGGCCTTCTCTGCATCAATTGAGATAATCATGTGGTTTTTGTCTTTGGTTCTGTTTATGTCGTGAATTACGTTTATAGACTTGCGTATGTTGAACCAGCCTTGCATCCCCGGGATGAAGCCTACTTGATCATGGTGGATAAGCTTTTTGATGTGCTGTTGCAATTGGCTTGTCAGTATTTT